AGATCCTTTCATTAGAGTCCAATTACAGTAACAGTTTTTCTAACTTTGCTTTGGTTGAAGCATCTCATTTCTCTATGCCTCTGTTGCTATATCCACCTTTATCAATAGGCGATCTATAAGTACTGTTGCATTAATACTTAAATATATTAATGTGTAAAGGTATGGATTACATGATCCTTCAGGTCCCTTTTAAGCTTTTACTCATGTGATTCATATTTTAGAGTATATGATTGTATATATTTATCACAATTTAAAATATGCTAATGATTTATTAACATATCATTATGTAATTTCTGTAAGTAATGCACAATTTGAAATAATGAACTAAAATTTACATTTATAAATGAATGAAAACTTCTCAAAAGTAGGTCCTTTGAAAAATCACAGAGTATATGTCAATCTGGTAAGAAAGTCAGTATCAAATATAGCAGTAAAATAACACTATTCTTCTCAATGCTTTTTTCCAAATTTAAAATGTGTAAATAAATGTGCATATGCTTCCTACATTTTAAAGTTTGGGTCTAGTAGTAGTTACTTTGAAAGGCTGTTCCATGCAAGTAGCAATTTTTGTGCTGAACTGCAAGCATCCTGATTACTCATTTGAAGTATAAGTTGTTAAAATATCCTTCATAATTTATCTGGTTCAAGAGGCAATGAAATTGTGCAGATGATGAATAAATATCAAGTACTTCTTTTGTTAGCAGCTGTGTCCTTACTGAGTTTCAAGTTATGTGGAATAAAAAGAGAAAACTGTAGCATGACACTCACAAGAACTTATTATTCCCACATTGAAGTAGTGATAGCAAAAGAATTGTATTTTTATCAGGTAACTTAGGTATATAATAAAATATTCAATTACTCACAATGTACATGAAGCTGTTTCTTTCAACATTTTGTCTCCTATATAGGAGTGCTGTGATGTTATTCCTGTACAATGAGTTCCAGAGCAATTACTATCCTCTCTGTATACAGCTGTGTAAATTAAATGTTATTCAGAAAAATGGTCTTATACATGCTGTACATCTACAGAAAACAATTCTCTACATTTTTGTAGAACACCATGCTTAGCTGGTCCAAGAAAATCATGCTAACACTAGTGTGGCTGAGATGCAGACTTCATTTTGGGGGAAGACAGCCTTATGGCCCTCAATTTATTGGAGCATACAAAATCCCTTTGGAAACATACTAAGAATCACACCACTTACATGTGAATGACTGCTCTTTAGGTATTTTCTTTTTAATTTTACTTTCAGGAAACTCCTTTAGTAATGATCCTTCAGGAAAATATATGATTATAAATATTTACCACTATTTAAAAATGACTTTGATAAATGACTCTTAAAATGACTCTTAAAAATGACTTTGCTTAATTTACATTTTATGCTATATAGGCACTGAACAAGAAAGAAAATAGCCAAAAATATCCACTTACGGAACCAAAACATTGCACTAACACAGATGTTCACAAACTTGTCTGCAACTGGAGTCTCTGGAATTTTCTTAGATTCTTAAAAATGTTGCAGATATATGTTTTTAAACTCTATATTTTAGAGAGAAGTCCTTTATCTAAGGGAGAGTCAGCAATAATTATTTTCCCAATTGGTGGGTTTTCATCTTACTCTGTTGGTGATTTATAGCCCTCCAAAATTCAAAGACACATGTAACATCCTGGAACTCAGTCATGTCCAGAATTTTCTGTTTAAGGAGGTAAGGGGGCCACAGAGGAAAGTGATCGAAAATGTAGAGCGTGCCTAGGATGAGTCATCTAGAGAGAAAACATTCTCTCAAGCTTTTCCAGAGAGCAAATTGGTCAAGCAATGGCCTTGAATCATCCAGATGGCTGACACAGACTAAAGCTTTACAAACTACTCTACAGGGTTTCAGGATAAATCCTGAGGAGATTTGATTACATTATCAGATACAAAAGATACATTCTTTTCTTATGTCTTGCTTTATTTTGGTCTTAACCATCCAACAAAAAAGTATAAATATGAGGTATAAAAAGTAAAGCCATATTAATATACTGAACTGTTAAAGGCTCAAGTCAACAACTTCGGACATTGCCAGTTCTGCAGATAACTCATTACTATTATGGACTACTGGATTATATTGGATACTATATTGGGTTATTTTGCTGAATTTGTGCACCTACAATATTTGAATGGCAATGG